GCTATGAGTTGGGACTGACTTGATGGCACCTAACAACAACAACAACAAAGGCTAACCCTAGGACTTGGTTTACTGTTAGGGTCATAGTTAGAACTTGAGTTAGCATTAGGGGTAAGGGTTGGCTTGGACTAGGAGTAAGGTTTGGTCTAGGTTTTAGGGTTAAAGTTAGGTTTATTTTTTATTTTTTATTGACACCTACTTGGTTTCCTTTTTACTAAGAAGTTCAATAGCTACATTAAGTAGCTACATTAAGGAGTTCTTGTAGCAGTGGTTACGAATCAGGCTACGAACCTCAAGGTCAGCTGTTCGAAGCTACCAGCTGTTCCGCAGGAAAAAGATGAGGCTTTCTGCTCCGGTAAAGATTTACAGCCTCGAAAACCCTGTATAGAGTCACCATGAGTCTGAACCAACTCCAGGGCACATTACAACAACACGGCTATATTATTCCCTCTTTTTAATTTATGGGTTGTTTTTCTGTTGCAACTATATCTCTGGATCTCTAATTTCAGTTTCATAGGCTTGTTTTTCTTTGAATATTTCCATATCTGGGTTCAGTCTAGGTAATACTGTCATGTAATTTAGTCTCAAGTTGTGTTGTCTGCTGTTGGTTCTCTGTCCAAAGAATGCCCAAACTGCAAGGTTGGTGGTTCAAACCCACCAGACACTCTTGGAAACCCCATACAAGGTCTCTCTGAGTCAAAACCACCTGGACTGCACTTAACAACAACTAAAGTTACCTGTTGTTTCCTTACCTATAAAAAGGCCTCTCTGGCAATCCAAGGGGATCGATGAATGCTCTTTCCAGAAGCATCAATTGATCATTCATGATTCTCACTGCAACAGGACTGAGAACAAAAACATAATTATAACTGAGCACAGAACCAAGTTTTAAATAATATTAAATATGAATAGTCTTGGGAAAATAAACCTCTAAAATTAATAGATTTTTTAAAATGCATGTTAACACGGTGTTTTGTGTGGTAAGTTAAGGGTAATAACAGGGTCATCTTCCAGATATTTGTAATATATAAAGACTTGTTGGGAAATTGGTTTTTTGTTTTTGTTTTTGTTTTCATAACCATAGATCAGAACTGCAAAGCACTTCATTCTTTAAAAAAAAATAATAATAATTTTAGGAAGCTAGCCAGGACACCTGGAAAGGTAGACAGTGTGGGTTCAAGTTTTTCTTAATAAGCCTTTAGTTTTACTGTGAAAGAAAGAATAAGAATAAAGGTTGAACAACAAGCAATGAATTAAGGTTTTAGGTGTCTGCAAGAAGTGCCCTGGACAGTTGTAGACAGTGGGCAAGTCTTGTTTCCCACTCAGAACCATCAAATTTTCTTTCTGAGGACTTTACTCTATCTAAGGGAGAGAGCAGTCTCACAAAATGAATGATAAAGCTTTGTTGTGGTATGATTATTGGTGGGAAAGTTTATTCTGATTATATGTGAAAAAAATAAATGTGACACCAACTATACTGTGGAACAATATATGTCTGTTACACAGTGCTTTTAATCTGAATCTAAATTTGTACCTATTTTCAACTGAAATGTGGCAAGAAGTTAAATGAAATAATTGGGGGGTATCAAAGCTGGGGCAGTTCTAGTCTGTCTTAAAGCATAACTATGAGCCAGAATCGACTCGATGGCAGTGATTTTGCTTGTTTTAGTAAGGTAGACTCTTCCGAGCAAGTTCCAAAGTAATGCTGAAACTGCTAGTTAGCAAACCACAATTTATCAGGGATTTAAAGCTGAATTTATAGGAGTCAAAGAGTTATTTTCAGTAGCCTGCTTTTCAAATCAGTAGAGACATCTGAAACTTACTTATTAAGATCAACTTGTGTGAGTCTTCTATGAAAATCTGAAGCAGCCCCTGAGAAGTTTCTGACCGCAGAAAATAAAGAATCTTCACAAAAGAGGAAAGAAGAAAATAAATTAGTAGGTGGAGGTAAACTTTCCTACAAAATTGCTAAACATGTTCTTAAGGAAATTTCAGAAGTCCAGGACATAAATAATTATTTCAATCCATAATCTACCAGTAATCCAGCATTCATTCATTTATTAATTCATTCACATTTTATTTGGACAGCTATCTGTATGCTAGATAATAGATACAGCTATAAATAAGCTAACATTGTTTTAACGATTACAATGCCAGTCCTTGCTTACATCATATCTTTTTGTATTCCTCTGTTAAAAAAATTTTCAGAAAAGTTATCTTACCTGGCACTAAAGGAAGACTTTCTATTTTGAAGGAAAGGAGAGACGGGATGAAGATTTGTGGAGCACACAAGATAGAATTAATATTATAGAAGAGACAGCAATATGTTTAATGTTTATAGGTATAATGAATAGTGCAGATCCAGAGTTAGAAAATCAAAAGGGAAAAACACACTCAGCACTTCTCAAGCTGAAAAAACTTAAGATAGGATACAAATTGAATTGTTTAACAAATTGATGCAGTACTACTGGTGGTGCTCACTTGTCTAAGCCAAGAAACTTGGAAATTAGTTCTCTGGACAACCAATTTCTATTAAGTCACATTTGTGCCCACTCCAAAGAAAGGTAACTCAATGGAATGCGGAAATCATCAAACAATATCATTAATATCACATGCAAATAAAGTGTTACTGAAGACAATTCCAAAACGGTTGCACCAGTACATCGATAGGAAGGTGCCAGAAATTCACACCCGATTCAGAAGACTATGGAATAAGAAATATCATTGCTGATGTCAGATGGATCTTGGCTGAATGCAAAGAATGCCAGAAAGATGTTTATTTGTGCTTTATTGACTATGCAAAGGTATTTGACTGTTTGGATCATAAAAAACTATGGATAACAATGTGAATAATTAGTATTCCAGACATTTACTTGAGCTCATTAGGAACCTGTATGTTGTTCTCACAGAACAAAAGGATACTGAATGGTTTAAAATCAGGGAAGGTATGCGCCACAGCTGTATTCTTTCCCCATACTTATTCAATCTGTATGCTTGAGCAAATCATCCAAGAAGCTGAATTATATGAAGAAGAATGTAGTATCAAGATTGGTGGCACGCTCATCATCTGCGATATACAGATGACAACCTTGCTTGCTGGAAGTGAAACAGATGAAGAAGGAAAAAAAATACAACTTCAGTATGAATTGCCCCTCAGTGTAAAGAAAACTAAAATCCTCACAACTGGACCAATACATAAAATCATGGGAAATAGAGAAGAGATTAAAGTTGTCTAAGACTTCATTTTACTTGAATCCACAATCAGTGCTCATGGAAGCAGCATTCAAGAAATCAAACGACATATTGCATTAGGCTCTTGTGCAAAAGATCTCTTAAAAGAGTCGAAGAGCCAAGACATCAGTTTGAGGACTAAGGTATGCCTGACCAAAGCCATCATATTTTCAATCACCTCATTTCCATGTGACCAAACCAATCTGTGTTGGAAGAAGTACAGCCAAAACACTCTTTGGAAGCCAGGATGGCCAGACTTCATCTCTCAAATTTTGGACATATTGTCAGAAGGGACCCTGGAAAAGGTTATGTTTGGTAAAGTGAATGGTCAAAGAAAAAGAGGAAGACCCCCAACTAGATGGATTGGCACAGTGGCAGCAGCCATGGGTTCAAACATAACATTTGTGAGGTGGGCGCAGGACTGGGCAGTGCTTGGTTCAATTGTGCATCAAGTCTCTATGAGTGGATACCAACTTGATGGCACAAAATAACAACAGCATATGCATGTGAAAGCTGGACAATGAAAATGAAGACCACAGAAGAATCAATGCATTTGAATTATGGTGTGGTGAAGAATATTGTAAGTACCATGCACTGCTGTGGGAAAAGAAAGAAAATGTGTATTGGAAGAAACACAGAATGCCCCTTAGAAGTGAGGATGGTGAGACTTGTCTCTTGTAATTTAGACATGTTATCAGGAAGGACCGATTCCTGTAGAAGTGAAGTAAAGTGGAGGGTAATTGAAAAAGAAGACGACCCCAAACAAGATAGATTGACACCATGGCAGCGACAATGGGTTCAGACATATCAAAGATTGTGAGAATGGTGTATGACCAGACAGTGTTTCATACTGTTGTGCATAGGATTGCTATGAGTCAGAACTAGCTAGAGGGGATCTAACAATTTTGAAAGGCATTAACAACATGTCAGTATGTGAAGAACGGTATTAACAACTCAGACCAGTTGTCTAACAAGATAAGCTTTTGGAGGAATTAGCATTGTATAGAGAAAGCCCTTCCACTGTAAAGTGTGGTTCCTGTCTCCTGGCTGGACAGTTATACACATTGATAAACAATAATTCACCAAAAGGAAATTGAGGCATTTAGCAAGACACTGACTGAACACTGGATAACCACAGAACTATGAATATCTATTAGGATGTAGTCTCTGTTTACTTGTCCAGTTTCGCCTGCCTTAATATTTCCCACCATTACAGAGATAACCCAATAATATTGTAAGGACCTAACTGATTTTACCTACCTAGAGACTGCTTGACTAAACTCTAGTGAGGCTCAGAAAAGCATTTTAAATAGACAAGGCCTCAGTTTTTAGTTCCCTCCAGAGACAAGGTCAATCTCCATTCTGTACATTAGCCTGAACACGTCCTCCTGTTCCAGGAACGTGCTAAATCAGCTCATGTTGCCTTAGAATATCCTTTCACCCCTAGCAACAGTGAGAACTAGATAAGAAATAGACAGGACCCAAGGCCAGATGCCAGATGTTTTCCTTTACCCTAGCCTAAGAACAAAGACCACCAGTCCTGACCTATTAAACTCTAACATCTCATACTTTGCCAATTGTTAACCAATCAGAAATTGTATCTATGGTACTGCACAATTATGCCCCTAAAACCTTATAAAAACTGGCTTGTACTGTAAAGGGGGGGTCGCCTTTGTCTCTGCTTTTGTGAGTGAAGGTGGACCCCAGCGCGTTGGCAAATAAACCTCTTGCTGTTGCATCGAACTCGAGTCCTGGTAATCTTTTTGGGGTCTCCTACTGGATAGGGCCATCTGGGGCCAACAATATTACACAATTTCCTAAATCTTTGTTGCTTTGTTTCTATTTCTAGACCTTAATCCTTACTGCTCTTCATATCGTTCTAAAGGTTAATACACTTTCTGTAATAATATTCAGAAAATCATTACTGGCCACTCAATTCCCATTGTGTCTCATTGTATCTCTATTAACAACTTGTCTTCTGCATTTGGTCTTCCCTTCCCCACATGAGATTTTAAACTCTCTGAGGCCAATGACTGTCTGGTACATCCTAGTATATCCCAAGATATAACACAGTGCTTGATATACAGTAGTTACACATGCACATTTGATACTTTTGCTGTACTAAGGGCATACACCCCTGAATAATAAAAAGAGAATGGTTCCAACAAAAACAACAATAATACATAACATTTATTGAGCAATAAATGCCTGTTACAGTGCTGTAGGATCAGCACTGGACTTTAAACTACAAGGTCGGCAGTTCAAACCCACCAGCTGCTCCTCGGAAACTCTATACAGGGTCACAATGAGTCAGAACCGACTCAATAGCACTTAAAAACAGCACAACACCATTGATTCTATATATGAAATAACTGAATCCCTACAAAAAATCTTTGAAGCATATTATATTCTTTTTACTATTTTACTAATAAGAATGCTGACACAGAGATAAAATAACTTTTCAGTAGCATAGTGGAACTAGGATTTGAACTAGGGAAACTGCTGATAGACCCAATGCTTAAAACTACTGAACTAAATTATATGCCACCCCTACTTTATAGGAGATACACAGTGGTGAATAGCAACCACTAATCTACCAATTATAAAGAAAAGATTGTTATAACTGTAAAAAAATACAAACAAAATAACACCAAGTAGACTGTGTAAAAGATTATAAAATATCTGCTCATCCATTTCTTACCAAATGATATCCTCTGGTCTCTCGATTGTTGGTCATGTTTCATGGATAAATTGTAGATACTCATTGCATAGTTTTCCAAAGCTTTTGCATAGTCTTGAATGTTGAAAGGAATGATTTTAGAGTCTGCAAGCTCATACACCAGTGCTCCTCGTAATTGTGCCACAGAAAGCTGTTTTTTGAATGTAGGGTCATAAAAATCCTCTACTAATTCAAACGTCTCATAAATTGTGTGGTACACTGGATAGCTACTGTATTTGTCTGTTTTCTTTTTTTTTTTTAATGCAAAGGGTGGGTAGGAAACAAAACAAAGCAAACATTAGATATTTAAGTGATAATATTTAGCTTACTAACTATGAGTACCTGGTGTGGTACAGTGGGACAATGCACTGGACCGCAAGGTCAGCGGTTCAAATTTACCAGCCTCTCCTCAAAAACCCTATTCAGGGTCACTACAAGTTGAAACGGACTCGAGGGCACTTAACAAAAAAAATAAGTATAGAAAAAAATGCAGCCATATGAAATTCTGCCTTCTATCATAATGAAAGAAAAAAATAAAAGTTAAAATCAAATTAACGAAAACACTACACTGTTAGCTGATTTGAAATTTTATCATCATTCATTTTATAATTTATGTAATTCATGTAATACTCTGTTCATTCAAAGTAATGTTTGCTGAGCATTTAAATTTCCCTTTATTATACTTCTGATAACTAGAATTTAAAATACATTTTCAAATTATACACCAGCACAGTGCAAAATAATCTATAAGTTGATTGGACACTTAAATAGCTACATAGTTGAAAGAATATGCCTTTAGGCACCATTACAAAATTATCATTTTCTTTATGTTGTTTTGGTTATGTACCATCGAGCTGGTTCTGACTCATAGTGACCCTGTATACCGTTTCCAAGCAGTCACTGGTGGGTTTGAACCACCGATCTTTTGGCTAGCAGTCTAGTGCACAACCTACAGTGCCACACCGGAACTACAAAGATAATAAGAGTGATAGTTTTATAACAGAGTAGCAGATGGACGAAAAACTAAAAGTAGGAATGGCAGAATTAAGAACTCAAAAAATACATTTGTATAGGCTCTTCCTTTCATTTAGTAATTTATGTTCATAAAGTTAGTCCATTTAATTATAAAATAAAAGTTAAATGACATTTTGCAATATGCTGCTTGAAAAGGCAGAAAAAAATGTCATGAATGGTATGGATTGCTGTGGCACTGTAGGATAAGTACTGTACAGCTAACCAAAAGATCAGTGGTTCAAACCCACTAGTCGCCCCTCGGAAATGATATACAGGGTCGCTGTGAACCAGAACTGACTCAACAGCGCTTCCCAACAACAATTTATTGTCTTTAATATAACTAAAAGCACTGCCTTGTCTCAATCCCTTCCCTTCTATTCAATTTTCTACTTCTGATTTTCAGTGGTCTTAAAAATGAGGCAGTGCTGTTGAGATTGATGACAATATAAAAGTGAATATGCCTTGACGACATTTTAAAGTATATCTTTTGTATGTTAGGTGCAATGGTCATTATTATACAGATTTCACATATTCGTTTAATTATTCTGAAGCTGGTTTTTCTAACTTCTTTGCTCTTAGTTGTATTCTGGATAGTTAAATATCCAAGTGATACATATTGCAGTTAAGCAAGATGGTGTATAGCAATTAAAGTATAAGAATTAAAATCAGTGACAAATCTCTCAGTTTATTAATAATCTTGAATAATACTAGATATTGGCTATTCTTCAGTTTGGGATATGACATAATTTCTAACATAGACAATATGTTAGGTATATCAAAGTACTTTCATGTCATTGAGATACATGCCTGACAATGAAATCAGAAAAGAGATCCAAGCTTTATTGTAAGAGAAACTTGTTTAAATTCCCTAGACAGAAGTAAACATATGAAGGGGCATTATTGATTAAAAAAAAAAAAAAAAAAATCTTAGCTCAATGTTTCCTTTAATTCAAGTTTTTTTTTTTTTTTTTAACTGCATATTTTCCTCAGGAAAAACACAGCCATTTACAATGCTTTAGGAAAAGGGTGTGAGCTACTAGATACTGATAACCAGCGATATTCCTGGAAATACTGTATGAACTATCACATCACTGAATAAAGCTCTAGTGAAATTTTCACAAAGCAACACAAAGTGCTTCCTAGCCCATCTACAAAGGGATGCAGTCTGTTGCCATAACTGGAACTCTTCCCAAGCCACCTGGTACCTGGTGCCACACAACTCAATGATAGAGTTCCTTATCAAAGGAGCATGGATGAAATGCTATATATTAGAAATTCTAATACAGCTTACCCTATTCTTAGTATAACGGATTCTGCCTGAAGCAATTCCAAGTCTCTGAAAATAAGCTTCAAAATCACTCCCAGATCCCAACTTGTTGATTCTAGATTCATAACATAAATAGATGGATACATTTAAAATTAATATATACATGCATACACAAAAAATAAGCTTAAATACATAAACGAAATATAGTTAAATAGATGGAATAAAGAAGCCTGTCCTAAGAATATCAAGGAACTGTACAGCACGTATGTAAGAATTAGAAAAAGGTATACCTCCCTTAATACTTTTCCTGTCATCTATAGGAAAAAGCGTGATAAATATTATAAATCTGCATTGACTACAACCAGAGTCAAGTAGTACCACCCAAGATGACAGGATAGTCTCATCCATATTTCTAATATTAATGTAATTTGTTTAGAGGAGAAAATGATAAATAAGATATTTATCTTTGCTCTCAGAGAACGCATAGTATAGTAAACAAAAATTGCTACGAAGAAGTCCATATTTAAGATCATGAAGTATCTAAATGTGCCTTATTTCGTTTCAGGAATAAATCTAATTTTGATTTTTTTTTTTGCAAATAATTAATGAACAGTAATCACATATATGGAGTCCTGGTGTAGTGCTGCAGGATAAGGAGATGGATCCCAAGGTCAGCTTGAACTGCAAGGTTGGTGGTTCAAACCAGTGGCTCCTCAGAAACCCTATACAGGGTCGCTATGGGTCAGAACTGATTTGACAGCACTTAATAACAACAACATACACAAATATACATGCATGTTGTTAAGTGCTGTCAAGTTGGTTCCTACTCATAGCGATCCTGTATAGGGTTTCCGAGGAGCATCTGGTGGATCTGAAGTGCCACCCTTGCAGTCAGCAGTTCAGTGCTCATCCTACAGCACCACATCAGGACTCCATACACATTGCATACATACAATAAAGTGATATTGAATATTTTTATGATATAATGTTAAGTCATTAAAGCCAAATATAAAACCATACATGCCTGACAAATAGTGATTTATTTCAAAATACTAGATTTGTTTTAGAGATTCAGATCTTGGATGTCTTTAATTTTTTTTTTTTTTCTATGCTACTATAATTTTAAATGAAGTCCTAGTGTGGTGCTCTTCGATAAGCACTGGATTGCTGACACAAGGCCAGCAGTTCAAACCTAGCAGCTGCTTCTTGGAAACCCTGTTGTTGTTGTTAAGTGCCGTCGAGTCGGTGCCGACCCATAGCGACCCTGTACAGGGTTTCCGAGGCTGTAAATCTTTACGGGAGCAGAACGCCTCATCTTTCTCCCACAGAGCAGCTGGTAGTTTCGAACTGCTGACCTTAAGGTTCACAGCCCGATTCGTAACCACTACGCTACGGCATTGTATAATAAGCACTGGATTACTAACTGCAGGGTCACAGGTTCACACCTACCAGCTCTTACTCAGCAACTCCACTTAAACTTTCATAAGACTGATCTAGAATACAAGGATCGAATGAAGTTATAAATGCTATCATTTCCTGCTGATATTAAAAACAGTATTGCAATTGAAATGATATAAGATAAATTCAAGAAAGTTTCTGTAGTATGAATGAGAAGATATAAAAACTTCTTCTATAAATAAAATCTAAATTGATTACAGCTAAAAATAGATAAAATAATAAAAATTATTGATGGTGTGCCTTAATAAATTTAGAAGCAAATAATCTATCATATTTTTTACTAATCTTTTCATACTATTTATTCATGTGTTTAATTCCTGAATGAAATTTTTTATAAAAGTGAAAAATAATGACTGCAAAGTCATCTTGACAAAAAAATATGAAAAACAAGGCTTATCTGTTCTACTACAGGATAAGGTTAAGAGATTTGGCTATGCTGGTTAATCAGCAAGACAAAGGGTGGACACAGGTCTCCAATCAAATTGTTGATGAGACATCAGAGAATTGCATGTCTGAAAAACCAAGGGACAAGCAGGAATTCAAAATCAGTCTGATAGATAAAGGATACACAAAGTAATATACCTAGGAACATTTTCATTTTCAGGTGAAGGATCCTTTTTCAACCAGCTTTCATAAAGAGACTGACTTTCTAAACCTTCATCAGGGCTGGAAATCTGGAAAGAAATCACGTATTGGAAGTTAAGGGCATAAGCAATGAAATTTATGCTGATCTAAAACCATATTATATTAGTTGCAATCAACTTCTACCTCTATATGTAAGCCATGTTCATTTTCAGAAGAAATGTCTATTTGCAAATAGCAAGAAAAAATCTCACCCACATTTTTTATTCATTTGTGATCTCTCCTTGATGGTAATTTTGGCATGTGTCTAAGATGTAATTTCCGCCTTATTTTGGCAAATTTTAATAGAGCTTCAAATTTGTACCCAACATCACCACTTTAATGTTTCCCAGCTTAGATTACTTTTAGTGAAAAATCATTGGGAGAAAACTCATTGTCCATGTAAATGTGAATAAAGGGTGGGAGATTGAGGTCTGGCAATGAAAGTGGAAATGACATTTAAGAGCAGCTAATAATGAGTCCTAGAGTCCTGGTGTGGCACTGTGGGTTAATGCGGCATACTGCAAAGCCGTTTGAACTACAAGGTCGGTGGTTCAGGCTCACCAGTTGCTCCTTGGAAACCCTATACAGGGTCGCTGTGAGTCGGAACTGACTCGACAGCACTTAACAACAACAATAATGGAGTTCTAATGGTGTGGCGATATAGGATCAGCACTGGACTGCAGATCACAGGGTTGGCAGTTCAAACTCACCAGCTGCTCCTTGGAAAACCTATACAGGGTCGCTATGAGATGGAACCTACTCAATGACACTTAACAACAAGTGTGGTACTGTAGGAAAAGTTCCTGGCCACAAGGTTGGTTTGAACCACAAGGTCACTATGGATTGTAACTGACTTGATAGCACTTAACAACAGCAGCAATGTGGACCGCTAACTGAAAAGTCTGTGGTTCAAACTCACCAGCAGCTCCTTGGAAACCCTACATAAAGTTGCTATGAGTCAGATCTAACTCGATGGCACTTCACAACAACAACAATAAAGGTATCAGGTATTGACAATTATTTTAAGCACTTGCCCTACTTTGATCTGATTCATCTGTGCCATATGTACAAAAGTACTGTGCTTATTGGGACAGAAGCCCTCACATTGAAGATAACAGTGGTAAAATTTTCCATTTCTATTAGGATGGCAGGGCTGGTAAGTGACCACTTGCTTTATATCTGAGACTGGCTGGGATGTAGTAATTTCACCATCACATAGCAGGTCCTCAGCTTGGAATCTGCCTCTGCACTGCATATGGCAGTACACTGCAGCTGCAGGGATTGTCTAGGCTGCTTTTCCTACCTGCTTGGACTGAATTCCCTAACAAATTCTCTTGCTTTTCTAGTAATACACAATCTGTCTAGAACAATCCAGACTGTGTGCCTTTGGCTATATATCCCAGTTTGAACTTAAGTGCCTCAGCTATATGCATTGTTAGAGTTGCTTTATATATTTTAAGTTTGTCTCATTTCTGATAATCCTATTGGCTCCTTCTTGCTCTATTAGACAGCCACTCTTCTCTCTAAGCTCAGCCCTGCTCTCTATTTCTACTCTACTTTCATGTCCCCAGGATGTTTTGACAATTTGTGTCAAACTACACTAGGGATGGATAGAATTAAAGTTTATAAATGAGTAAAACAAACTTCCTTTGTCTATTTATGCATTGGTAACCCCCTCCCTTTGTATAAAGATATATAAGCCTAAACCTCTCCCTTAAAAGAACAAAGAAAACAAACCTCCCGTCATAAAGTTGATTCTGACTCATAACAACCCTACAGAATAGAGTAGAACTACCTCATAGTTTTCAAGGCTGAAATTTTCACAGAAGCCAACTGCTACATTTTTCTCCCAAAGAGCAGAATGGTGAGTTTGAACTGCTGGCCTTCCAATTATCGGCTGAGTGCTTTAACCTATGCGCCACCAGGGATTTTCTCCCTTAAATACCCCAAATTCTTATCTTTCACATCAAAGCAGTAGCTATTACTCTATGACAGCACAATGCAAGTACTTGAACACATTTCCTGAGAAGTATTCCCCTAATGGAGTCCTGGTGTGACATTGCAGGATAAGCAGTGAACTATCTGCAAGGTCAGCTGTTCAAATCCACCAGATACTCTTCGGAAACCCTATGCAGGGTCGCTATGAGCTGGAACTGACTCAATAGCAACTTAACAACAAGTCTCCAAAGATCTAGATTGTAAAGTACTTGGATTCAGTGACCTTATCCGATTTATCATTGTTGCTGCTAGATTTTATTGTATACTATCTGACACATAGTAAGTACTTAAAAAATATTTATTGAATGAATGAGTGAGTAGCCAGAGGAATCTTTCAACCCAAGACTTCTCAGTTCCAGCTTAGCATTCTTTCTGCTATACCAGAATGCCTCTCCCAGATGAAAATTATATACTCTACACATTACAATTATGTACAATAAGTATTATTGAAACCAAAAAATTGGCAATTATTTCTTCATAATTATATCACATTAAGTAAATAACACAGTAAAGATTTTGTTCTGACTTGCTACTTATGTAAATCTGGTATATTCTGTTACCAGCTTAAACGTAAGTACCACTAATTAAGGGGGAAAAGTATTCGTCATTTACTAATTCAAAAAGCCTATTAAGACAAATCCACTTATGTACCTCTTTAGCCAGTTTATAAACCAGTTGGTAAAGAAGGGGTGTACAATCAACTCTGAGAGTATAATTGCCTGAAAAAATAAATGCAAAAACAAAGAACATTATGTCATACTGTGTTTAATTCTAACTGTATTTTCTAATTATAAACAAGTTGTAATATAGACTTTGAATCTTTGGCATCCTTCCCAGGAAATAAAACAGGAACTATGAATAGTTCTTCCAGAAGGGACGAGGCTACAGCCCCAACTTTAGCTAGAAGAAGGTGTAAGTAGACACTGGCTGTTAGGGCAGCAGCTCCACAACCATCGTTAGGACTCATCCTCATGGCAGCTGTTGTCTCTTAGGGGGACACTGGCAAAGCTTATCATTCATTCATTAAATTCAACAGTAAGTACATATCAAGATACTAGACTCGAACATGCCAGTAGCCAGTATGTTTATGTATGCTCTGGCATTTATGTAGAGATCATTAAAGTGCAATAAAAGCCGAGACACAAAAGTTCCAATGTCAGGTGATAGAGGAAGTTAGATAAAATTTGCTCCAGTACATATAAGAAATATTTCCCACAGAACTAAGACCTTTAAAAAATTATTTTAATATCGTCATAGGAAATATATAATTTATAGTAAGAGTTTTAAGTAATAATCCAACATGGGCAAATCCAAAATGGGTAAATGCTAAATATACTAAAGCAATAAGGAGCAATGCTATTGTCACTAAATGTCATCAAGTTGATTCCAAATGATAGCAACCCTAATAGGGTTTCTGAGGAACAGTTGGTGAGTTTGAACAGCCAACTTTATAGTTCAAACTGACCTTGCAGTCCAGTGCTTATCCTACAGTGCCACAAGAAAACTCAGTAGCTTAGTTAAAAATCATACAAGAGTCCACTGACATCTCTGTGGTAAAATGGAAAATGAAAAGTACTAGTGAAGTATCTCATACCAACAAGATAATCTAAGAGAGTTCACATGTTGGAATGTATAAGCTTAAATGATATATTATGTAAAAACAATCTGAAATAAAACTTACCTTCTATAGATGAATCTGAGTTGATATAAGCAACACTTCTCTCCTGGAGTGTTTTTACGTTTTCCTATAGTGCAAATAAAGTTGATACTTTATTCACAGTATTTACATTTGTAGAAACATAAACCAACCAAACAAATTAATTTAGTGGAAAAGTGGTATATGAATGCCTTTATTAATGTAATATACGCTCATGACATCAGTTTATGAGAAAATGCTGACTAACTGGTTGGTTGAGAACATTAATGTAGTCAAAGCAAAAAAAAGAAAACATTATAATGTAACTCTTTATTACAATAACAGGATGCCCCTAGAGAAGCAATTTTTTTCAAAGTCACATCCTCTGCATCAGAATATAAAGATGTGAGAATCCCAAATTCTGGGGTCCCAACCCAATCTACTGAATCAGTATTGCTGAAAGGAAGGTCAGAACATTCATATTTTATAACACAATTCTGTTGATTCTTAAGACATAAAAGTTACATACTGACATCCACTGAGAGTAGATGTCCAAGTAAATTAATTGTTCATATTAAAAGTGTTGTTGTTGTTGTCAGGTGCCATCGAGTCGGAACCGACTCATAGCAACCCCATGCACAGCAGAACAAAACAATGTCTGATCCTGGGCCAACCTCACTACTGCTGCCACACTTGAGTCCATCAGTGATGCCACCTGGCCAATCCATCTCGTTAGAGGTCTTCTCCTCTTTTTCTCCGACCCTCCACTTACCCAGCATGACATCCTTCTCCAGCAACTGTTCCCTCCAGACAATATGTCCAAAGTATGAGAAACGAAGCTTAGTCATCTTGGCCTCCAAGGAGCACTCTGGCTGCACTTCTTCCAAAACAGATCTATTGGTTCTTTTGGCAGTCCATGGCACTTTCAGTATTCTCCTCCAACACCACAACTCAAAGGCATCAATTCTTCTACGATCTTCCTTATTCACTGTCCAGCTTTCGCATCCATATGAGGTTATTGAAAATACCATGGCTTGGGTCAGGCGCACCTTAGTCCTCAAGCTGACATCTCTGCTCTTCAATACTTCAAAAAGTTCCTGTGCAGCAGATTTGCCCAATGCAATACGTCTTGACTTCTGCTTCCACGAACGTTTATAGTTGATCCAAGAAGAATGAAATCATTGACAACTTCAATCTTTTCTCCATTGATAAGAATGTTGTTTATTGGTCCAGTGGTGAGGATTTTTGTTTTCTTGACATTGAGATGCAATCCATACCAAAGGCTGTGCTCTTTGATCTTCATAAGTAAATGTTTCAAGTCCTCTTCACTTTCAGCAAGCAAGGTTGTATCATCTGCATATTGCAGGTTATTAATGAGTCTTCCTCCAATTCTGACACCACATTTTTCTTCATAGAATCCAGCTTCTCGTATTATTTGCTAAGCATACAGGTTGAATAAGTATGGTGAAAGAACACAACCTTGTCGCACACCTTTCCCAATTTTAAAACATTCAGTGTTCCCATGCTCTGTTCGAACAACTGCTTCTTGGTCCAGGTACAGATTTCTCAGAAGCACAATTAAGTGTTCTGGAATACTCATACTTATCAATGTTGTCCATAGCTTGTCATGATCCACACAATCGAAATCCTTTGCTTAGTCAATAAAGCACCCTTCTGGTATTCTCTGCTTTCAGCCAAGATCCATCGGACATCAGCAATGATATCTCTCGTTCCACAGCCTCTTCTGAATTCGGCTTGAACCTCTGGAAGTTCTCTGTCAATGTATGATTGTAGCTGTTTCTGTATTACCTTTAGCTAAAATTTACTCACTTGAGATATCAAAGAGATTGTCCGATGATTTCCACATTCTGTTGGGTCACCTCTCTTTGGAATGGGCACAAATACTGATCTCTTCCAATCAGTAGGCCAGATAGTTGTCTTCCAAATTTCTTGGCAAAGATGAGTGAGTGCCTCTTGAGCTGCCTCACTTTCTTAAAAGATTTCAATTTTTATTCCATCAATTCCTAGTGCCTTGTTCTTTGCGAATTCTTTCAATGCACTTTGTACTTCCTCCCTGAGTATCATTGGCTCTTGTTCATATTGGTACCTCTTGAAATGGTTGAAGATTAACTATTTCCTTTTGGTACAATGACTCTGTGTATTCCTTCCATCTTTTCTTGATGGAAAGTGAGAAGTAGAAAATTAATCTTTATACATATATTTATAAAGAAAAGAGAGAGAGAGAGAGAGGAAAAAGGACAAAAAAGGAGCGGAGAGCAGGGAACAAAACTAGATGGAGAAAAGGAGGTGCAGATTAAGGTCAAAACAAGACAGTTGCTCTTTTCCTCACGCACGCACATGCATACAGATCCAAGAAACATCAATAATAATGTTGTCACCCATGGAAAGAAACATGCTGAGAGAGTCCTTCACCTCTATTGTAAACCATATACACACTTGTTACTGTATACAAACATGATCTGTGGTTATGAAACAAATGAGGATTCTAATTTATCTCTTTGAAATAGCCCATACAAGCCAGATGATGGTTACACCCACAGCAGATATAGTCAGCTTTCATTACAAGAGATTTGTCATAGAAATAATGAAGTTTTCTATGTTTATTTAAAGAAGGAAAGTATGCTGCTGTATATAATCTAGAATCTGTTAGAAAACTTAAGAGTATTGAAATTATCTACACATTAACCCATATGCATTTATTGGAAAACATGTTTGTTATATTGTATTTTAGATTTCTTTCATCCTTACTTTAAGCTAATAAAATGATAGAAACAGACAAATATATTTATATCCATGTATTCACAAGAAATTGCATATTTCCAAAGGTGAGTGATCTTAATTAATAAAATTGGATTCATTTAAATAAATAAACCATTTCCAAAAAGCTTATTTATAATATTACTGTAATAATAAGAATTTCCAGTGAACCTGGAATTAAAAAAGGACAGGTGATACCAGGGAAGGAACTGAGTCCATGCTTTTATACCATATTTATTTTATTGATATTATTTTTATTATTTAATATGAGAACATGAACAAAGTGTAAAGCATTAAAACAGCAAATGGCAATATATCTATTGTTTTAAAAGAACTTTATAAAACAAGGATAATAATAAAAGATTGAAGAAGGTAGGAGGAGAGTAAGTGCTTATCTAGTGCACCCATCTTGATAAAAATGTGATGAGCTTAGCTTATATACTAAAGAACTTAGAATTTATTCGACAGAGGCTAAGGGAAGAAAATGAAAGAAGGAGCCTAGGAGAAACACTCAAAGATAAGGTGTTAAGAGCCATGAAATGAAAATCATTCATATTTAATGAACAAAAACAAACCTTTGAAACTATAAAGTAGGTCAATTTACTAAGCTATTCAAAACCAAACCTTTGAAACTGTAAAGTAGGTCAATTTACTAAGCTAATTCAGTCTATAAAATTGCATCTTACATTTAACACTGAAGCACAATTTTTTGTGGGGGGGTATATGGTAAAATATAGTTCTAATGCTACATAGGATCTGTAAATATGAAATTTAAGTCAAAGTATCATTATTTTAATAGAGCATCTTATGTTTTCTTAAATGGAAGACCCCCAAGGAAACTTGAAAAACTTAAAAGTGACTCCAAGGATCTGTATGGGGTTTTAGATAAGTCACATGTCTAAAACAGCTTGCTACTTTTGATTATTTTCTGAGCTTATTTTACTATTGTTCACAGAACAACCAGAAACAAAACTATACTGACAGTAATGATTGTAGCCTACAAATTAAGAGATTATTCTGTTCTGCTAAACTGATGAGAATAAAAACAAATAGATCCACTGGAATCTGTGAACCTCCTGGGATATAAACATGTGGTTCTGGTTGAGTAAGAAAATACCAAGAAGCATCTTTGTCTTACTCACCTCTGCCCATTCTGTAGAACCTAAAAGTCCAAATTCCTCTGCATCCCAACTGGCAAAAATTATAGTTCTTCTAGGTCTCCAGCCTGCAATCATTGTTAACAATACATCAATAAGTATAACTGCCTAAAAATAAAGAATATTAAATAAGTGACTTTTTGTCATCATATACCAAAGAACATTACTTACTCTTCTTACTCATCAGTTTTCCAAAGCTCCGGACAATTTCTTGCAAAACAGCAGCCCCACTGGTTGGGTCAATGCCTCCAAATACCCAGGCATCTCGATGACCCCCCAAAATAACATACCTGTCTGGAAGAGAATGTGTTTAAAAGAACCAAGACTTTGAAAACATTACAGACAGCTATAGTTTATGCTTTAAAAGTAAGCCTCCTCCTCTTGCTTGAGCTTTTTTCCATAGAGAAATCCAAACAATCATGTAGACTCTATTTTTTTTGGAGTAGTACAATTATTATTTTCTTAAAATATAGCAGTTACCTGTAAGTTAGGAAAAAAGTAAATTGTTGACTATAATTTATCTTTCTCTTACTTTTCTAAACTTTACAAAAACAAAATAAAAAGTCGCAGACTCACCTGGTTCCACAGATCCTCTGATAGTTCCAATTACATTATAAATCCTTGTTATTTTATTGGTATTATGAACATGCATTCTAATCTTCCTAGAATTTCAAAGGAAATAAATTATTTCCATGGAGTACTGTATCTAGTAGCTTTCTTCCAACATTTTATAAAGAAAAATTTCAAAAGTACAGAAAAACTGTACAATGAGACAATGAATTTCCCTATATTCACTACCTAAATTCAATAATGGAAGTCCTGATGTGGTGCTGTGGGATAAAGCACTGAACTGCAAGGTCAATTTGAACCACAAGGTTGGTGGTTCAAACGCCCCAGATACTTCCTGGACACCCTATACAGGGTTTCATTGAGTCCAAAACATCTCAAAACACTTAACACACTTAATAACCACAAATTTAATCATTGCTGATAATGCTGATTCATTTGCAAGTAAGCTGAAGACATCATGACACTTTATCCCTAAATACTTGGGTATGTATCTTAAAGTTAAAGTTTAATAGCTGCATGTCTATTATTTCTTATTCCTCTTCTCTCACAGCTATGTTGATATTTAAAATTCAAAATATTCTATTAGCAAAGATCCTACTAGTCTTTTTT